CTTCCTTCAAGAAAGATTTGTTTGTTCTTTTAGTAGTCCATGGAATATTCAATACTCTTTGCCAACGCCCCCACTTCAATGGTATTGCTTCTTCTTTGGTCTTCTTTAATAAGTTTTCAACTTTCAAATACCTGGGAAGCAATTGGAAATATGATGGCTTGGATTAGGTGTACCTTGGCCTTTAAACTGACATCATTGCTCTTTAGTACATTAAAGAGATTCTTGGCAATTGTTGTTGTTAAATGTCACTGAGTAGAGTATGACTCAAAACAACTGTATGAACATTAGATCTACACTCTATCCTATCCTGCCCCCTTCGTATTGACACATTTCAATCCATTGCCACAAACACTATAAATCCATCTCATTGGAGGTCATCCTCTCTTTCACCAACCTTTCACTTTTCCAAGCATGGCATTACTTTCCATGGAATAGCCTCTTCTAACACATGTTCAAATTTGTGAGACAAAACTTCACCATCTTTGCCTCCAGAGAACATTCTGGTTGCACCTTCTCCAAGACATACCTTTTGGCAGTCCATGGGACAGTCACACTCTTCTTCACCACAACAACTTAAATATATCAATTCTTCTCCTGTCATCTTTATTCATTGTACAGTTCTAAGATGCATAGCACGTGACTGGGAAGACTGTGGCTTGAATCAGGTGCACCTTAGTCTTTAAAATGACATCATTGCTCTTCAGGACTTTGGAGAGATCCCTGTCAGCAGACTTTCCCAGTGCTATGTTTCCTGATCTCCTGGCTGCTGTGTTGTAGCTAACTGTGGTGTTAACTGTGGATCCAAGCAAGATGGAATAATTGAAATTTCAATTGTTTCTTTATGTATCATAATGTTGCCTATTGTTCCAGTGGTGAGGACTTTTGTTTTCTTGATGTTGAGATCCATATTGAAGACTGCAGTCCTTGATTCTCTGCAGCAAGTGTTTACAGTTCTTCTCACCTTCAGAAATTGTTGACAGTAGATTTTCCTAATGCAACATGTCTTTTGATTTCTTGGCTGCAGCTACCATTTGGAAATTGTTATGTGTTATCGAGCCAATTATGACTCATTGTAACTCTATGAACTACAGCTCTGAACCTTGTCTATTCCGAGTCTCCTCACTGTCTCTGACACACTTGACCCCATTGCCACAGTCACTGTGTCAATCTAGCACAGCCAGAGTCTTCCTCTCTTGGACTGACCCTGTACCCTTCCAAGCATAATATCCTTCTCCAAATACTGGCCTCTCCTGACAACATGCTAAAAGTAAGTGAGATGGAGTTTTAAAATCCTTGCTCCTGTATTTGAAGGAAATGGGAAGGATCTAGGTGAAAAGACAGGGTAATGATGGCGTAGGCCCAATGGTGATTAATAAAACATATGTATGATAATGATTGTATGAAACACAATGTGAATGAAAAATAGTGTGAAACACAACATATAAGAACTTTGTAAGCAAGCCAATTTTCTTCTTTTTTTTTTTAAAGGAGCTCAGGAGAGGGAGTGTGGAGGAGGTAGGTATCACTCAGGGCCCTGCAATCAGTAGTAGTTCTCAGGCCCACATATACCTGCATCCTTAACACCCAGCCTGCAGCTTTAGAGTTGAGGTTCTCACCCTGCCAGACCCGTGAGAAGCTCCCTTGGTGCCGTTGATTTTCTTTGGCTGCTAACTAAAAGGTTTTCATTCCTCCTGGGTCTCCTTAGAAGGAGGGGTTGATGATCTACTTATATAAAAAATTTTAACCATTGAAAGCCATGAGCACAGGCCTGTCCTGGCACACATGGGCTGCCACGAGTCAAACAGTTGCCTCAACTACAGCTATTTTATTTGGTTTTTCAGTGACTGAGAGCTTTGGTCTTATAACTCTGCCCCTGAGTTCAAATCCCACTTCTACTGCTTTTTCAACTTTGCCTCTGTTTCCTTATCACTGAGAGAGAATAATAACAGTACCTCTCTCCCAAGGTTGATATGAGGATTAATTTAATTGACACGTAAAGAGATTAAAGAAATAAAACAAAACAACATTTATAGTTGAAATACTTCCAGGAAAGTACTCTGTTTTGATTAGGACCGAAGAAAACTGGTAAATCTATTCCAGTTCATAGCAAGCCTATGCATAGAGCAGAACTGTGCTCCACAGGGTTTTAAATGGCTGGGTTTTTGGAGGTAGATCACGAGGTCCTGCTTCTAAGGAGCCTCTAAGGGTGAGGTTGAACTCAAAGCCTTGTCCTGTAGATTACCAGTCAAGCACTTAACTGCTTACTCCAGCAGAGACTCCTTTGGGTGGGTGGGACAAGAATTCCTAGAACTTTGGTTTTTGCTTTGTGGGTGGGGAGAGGCGCAAGGAATTGTGGGAAAGGTACCTGGCCTCTCAGGCATTACCAGTAGGAACAGAAAAGGTGAAGGGTAGAAGAAACCCCACTCTGAAAAGTCTGGAAACAGGGTTTAGCTGGAAGAGGAATGCTGTTAACACCCTCTGTCAGTAGGAACCAGTATCAACCTTGTCCTTGCTGAAAATTAAAAGCCAGGTGAGGACATCAGACTAGTATGAGGTAACCTTAGTAGAGGAGCAGACACTTTGATGACATCCCTTGGGACTGGACCCCAGGGAACAGCCTTTCTCCACAGGACGCCCAGCAAGCCCACCAAGTGTCACCTCTGGAAGTGCCATTCATTAGGTAAAGGACGCTTTGGGGTTTTGTGCCATAGACGCCTTCACTAATAATTATAAATAAGTACAAAACAGAGTTCTGAAGAAAACCCAAAAGATCGAGATTTTTAAAAGAGCGAATAGGTGACATAATAACTTGTGTGCTGTTTTACCACCTAGCAGTCTAGTAACCATTACTGTTATTCTGAAGCAGAGATGAGCATAAACCACGCCTTTGAAAAAATGGGAACAACTATATTTCTATTAAATGTGTGACTACCGTTGGGGACAAAGTCACAGGTACAAGGTTGCGCGAAAAGCACTGGCAATAAAATGGCACGTTTTGAGTCAATTTTGTCTTTCTTTTTAAAACAAACTACAACATATGGTGTTTGTGTCTGTACAAAAGATACTTTAAAAGTTTGTTAAAAATATTTCCTACTTAAAAAAAAAGATAAGGAGAATGTCAACGCTCAGTGCTTCTTTTGCAAGCCTTCGTCCGTCTGCCCTTCTAACCCGAGGAAGGTTCCTTAGGGGACCTCATCAACGCCACTCCAGAAAAATCCCAAGTCACTTTCTCAATTCAGCTCCGAGAAGGGGGGCGTTGTGTCCTGGCACACTGAGTGGCTGGGCAAACCCTCAGCCATGTGCCTGTGACTTTGTCCCCAACAGCAGTGCCACATACCGATGCAGTCATTTTTATCCAGAACCCATTTTTATCCCCCAGAATGGCCAGGCTGCGTGGAGTAACATGGGAGGCCAATAGCAATCGAGTTCCTAGTGTTAATCAACATTCTGGAGTTCCCCATTGGAACCTGTCAGTCTTCACTTCTTCCACGTGCGTTCGGGGAACCAGCCTGCCACCTCCCAGCAGGATCGTGCTGAGAAAGCCCGTTACTTCCGCAAACCCAGGCGTTCCCTAAGGTTCCGCGGGAGAAGAAACCAGAGTGTTAATTCTGTCCTAATACGCTTTCTCCGTGGCCCCAAACCAAAAAGACATCCTCTTCCTCTAAGCGACCGCGGCAGGACTCGAACCTGCAATCTTCTGATCCGAAGTCAGACGCCTTATCCATTAGGCCACGCGGCCACTTAGCAAATACCTTCTTTTAGACTGCCTAAAGAGTATTACCGCCCACTAGCTTGCTTAGGACCAACCCACTTCCTTCCTGAGTAGGGGAGGTTGGCCCTTGCTTCCTAGCATGCTGCGCGGAGGGCTCACCCGGAAGTTCCCCTCCTCTCCCCGAGAGCGGATCGGCCCATTTGCAGCCTTCCTATTGGTCGCGCCGGGAGTCTCCCGCTTGCCTCTCGGGTAGCCGCGGGACCGACCGGGGCACGGACGGGAAGTTGCGGTTTCCAGCGAGGTGGGCCGGTCTGGTCGAGGCCACAGGCCACCCTCGAGGCTGCATTCGCTACGCAGAGGGGCCCGTTGCGTCGCAGTGGGGTCCGGGCAACCGCAGACCGGGAGGCACAGGGCAAACCGAGGTTTCCAGTGGGTTTGGTGCGGGGGAGGCCGGGTCGCTGAGCGGCGGCGCGGCCCCTCCCTCCCGTCAGGGAGCGAGGCCCATGAACAGGGCGGCGGCTCGTCCCAGGGCGCACCGCGCAGCGGCCACCGGGCACCAGCGGGCGGGCGCGCGGCGGTCGCGGCCGGCCCCTCATGCAGGGCGACCTTGGCCCGCCGAGCCATGGCCAGGGCATGGGTGGGGGTCCCCGGGGGGCGACCGGTGCAGCGTGCAGGTTCGAATCCCGGAGCGGACACCTGTGTCAGCCCCTCGGGCTGTGGCATTTGCTCTAATAGTAAAGCACCGTTTGCCGAGTCCGGTCGTGCGACTTCTCGCCCCGTATCAAACAGCATCCTCTGTACCTAGTAGAACCTGTAATCCCATTTTACAGACTGAGATATGGGGGCCTAAGGAATTTGCCCAAGGTCACACAGCTTGTAAGAGCTGAACTGGGATTCAAACCCTTGTTGTCCTACTCCAGAGCCTGTGCTCTTAACCACTGCATGCAGTTTCCCCAAGTAGAATAATCTCTGTTTCCTCAGTAAGGGGTAACGCTATTTCCCAAGGGTGTAAAAATGTCCCTAACGCTCCTAACCCAGAGCTGGCGAGCAGTGAGTCCAGAGCTGTCTGGTCCCTGACACAGCACGTGCAATTGTAATAAAATTCTCTGTGTCCCTGTCTCCTTTAGGATTTGGGGGCAGGAGGCAGGCATGGTCAGCCCCGTGACACTGACAGCGAAGCTGAGACAGGACGTGTCTCCCTCCACGGCATTCAGCCTGTAAAAAGCAGCCAAGCTGGAGGCCAAAGCCAGGGGTCCTGACGCCCAGCGGGGGGCTCCCTGCACCCATCATGAGCCGCCTGCTCTGGAAGAAGGTGGCCACCGCCGCCGTCGGGCCCGGGCCGGGCCCAGCTCCCGGGCGTTGGGGCTCCTCCAGCTCCGCCGCCCCCGCCTCCAGCGAAGGGCAGCTGCCGCCGCGGCCGCAGCCAGCGTCGCCCTCCTCGGAGCGCGGGCCGCCGCGCCGCAACCCGCTGCACATCCAGATGCTGTCGAGGGGGCTGCACGAGCAGATCTTCGGGGCCGGCGGGCGGGCGCCCGGCGAGGCCGCGGTGCGCCGCAGCGTCGAGCACCTGCGGAGGCACGGTCTCTGGGACCAGCCGGCCGCGTCCCTGCCCGACGTGGAGCTGTGCCTGCCGCCCCTCTACGGGGGCGACCTGGACCAGCACTTCCGCCTCCTGGCCCAGAAGCAGAGCCTCCCCTACCTGGAGGCGGCCAACTCGCTGTTGCAGGCCCAGCTGCCCCCGCAGCCCCCGAGCTGGGCCTGGGCGGAGGGCTGGACCCGGTACGGCCCCGCGGGGGAGGCCGAACCCGTGGCCATCCCCGAGGAGCGGGCCCTGGTGTTCGACGTGGAGGTCTGCTTGGCCGAGGGAACTTGCCCCACATTGGCGGTGGCCCTGTCCCCCTCGGCCTGGTAAGTGGGGCGCCCGTGGGGGGCTGTGGCATGTGTGTGGGGTCCAGCTAACTGGTTTGCTCCATTGCATATTTACTGCGCTGCTGCTGTGTGCCAGGTGTGCATCTCCGTGCTGGGGGTAGTGCTGAGCAAAGCGGGCTTGGCCCCTGCTGTCATCGTGCTGTCCTAGTAGAGTAGACAGACACCAGGCCAAGTAGTGACCAGAGCTCCGTGGACAGTCACAGTGGAGTGTGGTACTGGGGACCGACAGGGAGGTCACGTGAGAACACTGTGAATTATCCTCTTCCCCTATGGTTTCGTACAGAGTATCTCTGAAAAGACATTTGAACAGATTCTCCTTGGGAGCCCTGTTGGTTATTTTGAGCAGAAGAAACTTTTTTGTGAGATTGTCTTAAGCAATACCACACAGCAGCCCTACCCAGCCTCACCCCTAAAATGCCAGCTCTGGTCCCCTCGATGTTTCCAGATACCTCCTGGAGGAGGAGAATGATCACCCAGCCTCCCAGGCAGGTGCTTTGGTCCCAAGCAGATCTATCCAGTCTGTGTCCTTTTAAATAACTTTCTAAATGCAACCCCAAGTTTCTTTTTCAAACTGTTGACAGTTCTATGGAAGATGCAGTAAAGCCCAGGAGCAACAAAGTTCTAAACCTCTTTCCCATTTTTTATTCTTCATTCCAGGACTAAGATACTATTTACAACCTTAATCCTTTCAGGCATGGCCAGCGAAATGTTGGCAGCTCCTTTATTCCTATTGGAAGGCACATCTTTGTAAAGAAAGCTGGGAAATGTTAAATATGCAGTTGAGAGTGGTGAAAACATGGCTAAATAGATAATAAGGTAGGCATTGATGACCCGATAGAGCAAAGCTAGATGCTTCCTCATTGATTTCATTCCAGTTACAATGAGTATCACACTACTTAAAATGTGACATTAGATAGGCAGAATTGGAGGGGATATTGGCCATCATTTGAGAAAATGAAATGGGCCTCAGTGGCAGCAAGAAAATGAGGAACCTGGTTACAGAAAAGACTTCTTTTTTGGCCTGTTGGTCATTTTTGGCCAGTTTCCCTGATGTCCTCAGTTTTTATCTTCTTGCCTTTATTTTTCCTGTCTCCCTCATTCCACCCTCACTGCATCCCGCAGGTGGTGCTGAGGGCTTTTCTTGCTTTACCTGGAGGTGCTAGTCATTTTTTAGGCTTGTGCTGACGATGGGACCTTCCTCGTTGAGAGTCCGTGATGAGTAGTGGGAGGCCATATGGTGCCCTTGTGGATAGTCCACATTCATCGGGCATGTCCCCCCATTTGGAAGCATTGCATTAAGTACCTAGCCAGGCCAACCTGTCCTCTGGGAAGGGAAGCCGTGGAGAGCCCTGAGCCGCAGGACAGGCCCCCAAGGGTGTTGTAAGTGCTCTCAGACACCTGGCTAGAACATTGCATAGGCCATCAGTATTGGTCTGAGAGTCACAAGAGAGCTACAAGTATTAATGGCATTGATTCTAACTTAAATTGACCAGAAGTAATTGTGTTTTGGTTACAAATAAGTTTATAGTTAAGATGGCTTCACACATGATCTGTACCTTGACACCAGTGTTATTTAACTTGCACCTAAGGTCCCTGTCATCACAATGTCCTCAGCTAGTGGGTATTCTTCTGCCTTTTTTCTTTGGATTTTTAACTTGCTAGATTGAAAGTGGGGGTATAGGGACATTCAACTTGAACTCTGAGCGTGGTCCCAAGATTAAAGTTTAATTTTGTAGGTTTAAACCAGAAAGATTTTTTTGGTTTTGGTGTTTGGTTTCTTTTGGTAATTTTTGGCTCACCCCCTCACCCCCCAACGAAAGGAACCTGTAGAGATGGGTGAGCTCCCTCTCCTTCGTGGGGGCTGCACGAATTGCCTTTACAGCTCTGGAGTCCACACATATGGCCTCCTCTCGATGCTGAGTGGACCTTGACCTCCTGGAATACTTGCTGGCTTGTTGCAGCCTTTTCCTCAGCAGCCATTTCAGTTCAGCCTGTGGTTCTCCCTGGGTGAAGGCTGAGCTGGCTGCTCCCCACTCCCTGTTCCCCCCGCCCCAGCATGTTCTTGTGCCTCAGCTCCACTTTGCCACTTCCCCTGGTCTCTCACTCAGGGTGGTTTGCTAGGAGAGTCACAGCACTTCCTTCAAGATGTGTGACTTGTTTTTTTGTCCTTCACAGATCTTTTTGGTGTCAGATGGTTCTTCTTGTATGTGTGTGTGTAGTATTTGCCATTGTCTTTCCACTTCTAATTAAAAAACAAATTCCTACTTGGGTTCAGTTGTCTAGCCCTTGTCTAGCATTGTCAACCTCTTGTTTTGTACTCATAGACTTTGGAGAGCTGAGTCTAGGCTGGGTGCATCCTGGCTCCATCTACCACACGCCATGGTGGCCCTGGCTAGAGGGTCTTCATGGGATACCCAGCACTGTGGCACATGGTTCCATTTTCATTGGTAGATGCTAGGAAGTGTAGAAGCTTTTGTAACTCATTTCCCTTGCAGCTCACTTAGCTTGGTGAGGGTTCGGAGCACCCCTCAGCCTCTTTGTGTCCCAGCTGCTAGTGTGGGGTCTAGTGTGTGGCTTAAGTGTGTGGTGGGTTGTGGAGTGGAAGTTTAATTAATGCCTTCATGATGAGCTTGCGTGCCTCTTGCCTCTTAGGTATTCTTGGTGCAGCCGGCGGCTGGTGGAAGAGCGTTACTCCTGGACCAGCCGGCTATCGCCGGCTGACCTCATCCCCCTGGAAATCCCTGCCAGTGCCAGCAGCACCAGCCAGCGGACAGGGCAGGAGCAGCTAGTGGTGGGGCACAATGTGTCCTTTGACCGAGCCCACATCAGGGAGCAGTACCTGATTCAGGTAAGCATCCTGGGGCCGTCTTTGCACCTGATGTGGGGTCAGCTTGGGACCCTGACCTCAGGGGCAGGGGAAGACGTTGCTTTTTTTAAAAAAAAATTTGTGTGTGTGTGTGTATGTGTATACACACCGTCAAATCGGATCTGACTGGTACAGGAGGAGATTGTCCCTCCTTCCCTGGCAGAGCATCTGGTGGATTTGAACCATGTACCTCTGGAATTGCAGTGCAACTTCTTGCCACTAGGCCACAGAGCTCCCAACGTTGTTTTTTCTGCCCAGTCTCCCATCCCTTTTGCAGCAGCTGTAGGGCATCCTGTTCCCAGGCTTCGTGCCTCTTGGCTTAGTTAGTCTGTCCCTGGGCTTACCTGGTGCAGGATACCTACCTGGGTTTTGTCCCAGAGTAGGGAAATCTGCTGCCAGGGACCTTTCCAGAGTGCTAAAGAGCAGTGATGTTAGTCTAGAGACTAAGGTGCACATGATCCAGGCCATGGTCTTTACAGTTACTTGCTGTGTATCAGAGAGTTGGACAGTGACTAAGGGTAGTAGAAGATGAATCAATGTCTTTGAGTTGTGGTGCTAGAGAAGAGTGTTGAACATAAAATGGACTGCCAAGAGAACAAACAGATCTCTTGTGGAGAGGGTGAAATCAAGCTGCTCCTTGGAGGCTAGGATTTTGAAGCTTGTCTCACATACTTGGGGCATGTTGCCAGGAGTAGCTAGTCCTTGGAGAAGGACATCATACTCAGAAGGATGGAGGGACAGTGCAGGAGAGAAAGACTCTGGATGAGATGGATTGATACAGTAACTGGAGTAATAGAGGTAGATGTGTCAGAGACAGTAAGACTGGCTCAGGGTAGGGCAGCGTTCAGAGCTATTCTGCATAAGGTCGTTATGAGTTGCAGGTGACTCGACAGTACATAATAACAACCACCACCACCTTTGAGTCCAGTTTGACTTTGGTTCTTACTCTAAGGCACACAACAACAAGAGCAACACCTGTGAGTCCAAGAGCCATGGTGACACAGTGGTTAAAGCCCTCGGGTGCAATTGAAAAGGCTGGCAGTTCAAAACCCCCAGGAAGGTTATGGCCTTGAAAAACGTGGGCCAGTTCTGCTTCGTCCTGTAAGGTTGCCGTGTGTCAGAATGGAGAGTTACTTTATCTTTAGGAGGCATTTTTAAAGTGATAGTGGTTCTTTTTTTAAATTATTTTTTTGTGTGTGTGCACCATCAAATCAGATCTGACTGGTACAGGAGGAGATTGTCCCTCCTTCTCCAGCAGAGCATCTGGTGGATTTGAACCGTGCACCTCTGTGATTACAGTGCAGCTTTTTGCCACTAGGCCACCAGAGCTCCCCTCTAGGCGGCATTTTATCACTTGCTGTGGGCCTTTGGGGACTGAGCCCCACAGCCGAGGCTCACATCCTGATGGTGTGAGCACCTTCACGTCCCGGGGTTGTGTGCTCCTTGTTGGCTGTTGTTAGATGCCCTTGAATCAGTTCTAGCTCAGAGTGACTCCCCATTCAGCAGAGTGAAGCCCCGCTCAGTGCTGCACCTGCCGCATGGTGTTGCTGTCTGAGCTCAGTTTTGCCGTCACTGTGTCAGTCCATCTTGTTGAGGGGTTTCCTTTTTTGTTTTTCTCATTATCTTCTACCTTACCAAGTGAGACGACCTCTAGGTACTCGTCCCTTCTGGTGACATGTCCTAAGTATGCAAAATGATACCTCATCATTCTCACTTCTAAGGAGCAGTTGGGCTATGCTTCTTCCAAGATAAATTTATTTGTTCTCCTGGCAATTCATGATATATTTGGTATTCTTCACCAGCACTGTCATTGAAATACATCAGTTCTGCATTGGTCTTCTTTATTCATCTTCCAGCTATCACATGCATGTGAAGTGATTGAAAATACCACAGCTTGGATAGAGTATACCTTAGCCCTCAAAGTGGCATCTTTGTTCTTTTTGTTTGTAAAAAGTTTTAAATAGCTGAATATTTTATATACTGTCAAAATAACAAACTATATATCCTGAGAACAAAATATATCCTGAGAAAAGAGCAAGCAAAGTGCTCTTTGGAGGCAAAAGTGGTAAAAGCTCCATCTCTTGTACGTTGGGATGTTGCTAGGAGAGGCTGTTCTAGGAGAGGGTCATTATGCTTAGAAAGGTGGGAGGTCGGTGAAAGGGGACGACCCTCAACAAGGTGGATTAACCCAGTGAGAGCATCAGTGGGCTCAAGTGTGTCAGAGAGGATGAGGATGGCACAGGACGGGACAGGGTTCTGATCTCTTGTTCATAGGGTCACTATGAGTTGTACTTGATTTGATGGCACATAACCACCACCACCTCAGGATTGTTCGGATTTGAACAGTGCTGTCTGTGGTAAACACTCAGCTGTTTCTGGCATGTGTTAACAGTAGCTTTTAGTGTTAAGAAAAGTGCTTTCTCGTTGGATCTTCACAACAGCTCTGTGAGACAGGTGGGGCGGCTGAGAACACGTTGGTTTCCAGCTGGCAGTGTAGCTTGTGGTGGTGAGGCTCTTGCTGGCCCTGCTGACTTGCCCTGGGTCACACAGCCACTGAGGGGCAGGATTGGGGCTGGGGCTGGAGGCCAGGCCTGATGTCTTTGAAGGCCCTACCTTGGCCACGTCCCTGGGTTGCCCCTCAGGTCTGTTCCTGGACACTGGCAAAGACTTGTGGGTTGAAATTGGGCCAGGCCTGTGCCTTCAGGAGTGGTTTTGGGATTTGAGAAGGCAAGCCCTTTTTACAAGGGAGGAGTAGGCATGCTCATGCGTGGAGCCCGATATTTCTTACTGCAGGGTGATGTGGGTGTGTGGGGAGCTGAGCTGGGTTTGGGGGTAGCCCCTCAGCCACTGCCCCTCCTCTCCCTCAGGGCTCCCGCATGCGCTTCCTGGACACGATGAGCATGCACATGGCCATCTCGGGGATGAGCGGCTTCCAGCGCAGCCTGTGGATGGCAGCCAAGCAGGGCAGGCACAAGGCCCAGCACCTCACACAGAGAGGCAAGAAGTCCCAGAACAAAGCCAGGGGCCCCGCGGTGAGAGCACTCGGTGGGTGGGCAGGAGCGGGCAGTGCGGCCCCTGCCCAGCCTGCCTCTCGGGCCCAAGAGCAAGCTCATCTGCTCGGCCCCTTACCCTCATCGGCAGATCTCGTCCTGGGACTGGCTGGACATCAGCAGTGTCAACAACCTTGTGGACGTACACAGCCTGTATGTGGGCGGGCAGCCCCTAGAGAAGGAGCCCCGAGAGCTGTTTGTCAAGGGCAGCATGAAGGATGTCCGTGAGAACTTCCAGGTATGGGGCCCATGAGCAGACTGGAGTGTCAGCTTGTTTGGGGCGGGGCAGCAGCCAAGCCTGACACTGAGACCTGGGGGGGGGGCTGCACACCCAGCGCCTTTCTGTCATCCCGTGCCAGGAGCTGATGAAGTACTGTGCCCAGGACGTGTGGGCCACTTATGAGGTTTTCCAGCAGCAGCTGCCGCTCTTCCTGGAGAGGTGAGGGGAGGCCCAGAGGGAATCCCCGAGGGTGAGAGGGTTGCAGCGGCCAGGCCCTGTCATCAGGTTCTTATGATGGGTGCCTTACCTTTTCTGAGCTGAAGGAATGAAGGCTCACTTTGTCTGTGTGTGGACTCTGGGTTTCCACTGAGGCCATAGAGGAGAGGGCTTGCTTCACACGCAGGTCTAGCTTATTAAGCACGTTCCCTGTTCTCTGTACCCAGGCCCTGAGTCATGGGCTTCCATCCATCCTGCTTGTGTTTATTAATGAATGATCAGTCTCACGAGCGCTGAGATGTGGCATCAACCACACTTTGATCATATCTTGACCACCATGCCCTACGTGGTTTACCTTGGACTAGTTGCTTGGTTTCTCTGAGCCTTGGTGTTCTCACCTGTGAAACATGACCTATTCCTACCGTCACCACCCCCTTGGGGATGTTTGCGTGGGCGTGGTTATCAGCGTGGTGCCAGGTGTAGTGTTGTTACTTGGCACGAGCCATTTTCATCTTGGCACGCCTTTTTGTTTATAGCAGCACTAAGAAACTGAGCTAAGGAAGAACATTATTTCCATTTTATAGATGAAGGAACTGAGGTTCAGAGGTCTGGAGTGACGTGCTCAGAGTCCATGCTGGGGAGCGGGAGAGCTGCAGTATAAACCCCTGGCTGGCTGACTTCAGAGCTGGGCCATGGCAGTTGGGTTGAGGCTTGCCAAACTAGCTCAGAGGTTGGGGCAGTCTTGCCTCTTGTGACCACTGACGGTAGGCCCTGGGGTTTGTCCCCAGATGTCCCCACCCAGTGACTCTGGCTGGCATGCTGGAGATGGGAGTCTCCTACCTACCCGTCAACCACAACTGGGATCGCTACTTGATGGAGACACACAGCACCTATGAGGAGCTCCAGCGGGAGATGAAGAAGTCACTGATGGACCTGGCCAACGATGCCTGCCAGCTGCTCACAGGAGAGAGGTAATCTGCCCAGCAACTCTTTCAGGTGCTCAAGAGAAGGGATGTTACTTTGAGGACCATGGTGTGCTTGACCCAAGCCATGGGGTGTTCACTCACCGCACATGGGTAGCCAGACCTGGGTGTTGGTTTGGGGTCCTGGAGGATAGTAGGCCTGGCCTTTGTCTTGGCCTGAGCTCTCTGGTGGTGGACTGGCTCTGTAGGTACAAAGAGGACCCCTGGCTCTGGGACCTGGAGTGGGACGTGCAAGAATTTAAGCAGAAGAAGGCAAAGAAGGTGAAGAAGAAGGAGGTGGCCGAAGCCAGCAAGTTGCCCATCGAGGGGACTGGGGCCTCTGGGGACCCCAAGGATCAGGAAGGTGGGGAGCACAGGTGGGAGGTGGGGCAGGGTAATTGCTGGCAGGTCTTCTGGGGGTGAGCAGGCTGAGGGCAGGTGCTTCGGGAGTCTTCCCTTCATTCCTGAGCATCCTCTCCACTCTGGCCCCTCGCAGACCTTGGCCCCCTGACTGAGGAGGAGGAGTGTGAGCGTGATTCTGCGGCCCGGGCCTGCCTGCAGCAGCTGAAGGAGACCGTGGAGCTCCTGCCCAAGCGGCCCCAGCACCTGCCTGGACACCCCGGGTGAGCCCACCTTGCGCCCCACACTGGCTGCTCCAGCAGCAGGTGTGTGTGCTTCCTTCACAGAACTCGGGGTACTGACAGGAATGGGGCTGTGTCTTTGACGCAGCTGCTTCCCTCCAGTCAGGGCAGCAGGTGTTCAAGTCAGCAGTGAGACGTGGAGAGGGCAGTGTGCAGACAGAGCCTCCTGCTGGCAAAGCCAGGGAAGGCTGCTTTGAGGAGGTTGCACTTGACTTGAGCCTCGTAAGGGGAGCTGTTCAGTACCATCAAGGCGGGACTGACCCATAGCTGGCTCTTCAGCAGATTTTCAGGGGCAATAAGTCACATGGGAGGAGATTGCCCATCTTTCTCCTGCAGATTTGAACCAAGTACCTTTAGCTTGGCAGTGCAGCTCCTTACAAGGAGCAGATGAGGAAATAAGGGCAGGTGAACTGCAGATGTTGAGTTTACCCCTTCCATGAGCTGCAGAATGATCCCCTCCGGAATGAGTCCCTGGCCCCTTGCTTGCCTCACTCATCCTCAGAGTGTGAAGGATGGTGCTCAGCAGGCCTTGGCGTGTGACCGACCACAGCAGGGTGGTGGTCTGCTGGGGGCCATTTGCATCTTCTGTGAGGATTCCAGTCTTGGCCAGAGCCCCCAGAGCTGGGCATGGTGAGGAAGCACTGGGTCCTTGCAGGGTGGGTGCAGCCTGCTGTGGTGGAGAGAGAGCGTTCCTGGTCGTCTCACTGCACTGTCCCCTGCTGCCTTGTGACTCTGCTTTCTTATGGGGCACAGGTGGTACCGGAAGCTCTGCCCCAGGCTGGATGACCCTGCGTGGACCCCAGGCCCCAGCCTCCTTAGCCTGCAGATGCGAGTCACCCCCAAACTGATGGCACTGACCTGGGACGGCTTCCCACTGCACTACTCAGAGACGCACGGCTGGGGCTACCTGGTGCCCGGGCGGCGGGACAACCTGGTCAGGGAGCCAGTGGATGAGACCTTAGCGACAGCCGAGGTGGCCTGTCCCTACAGGTGAGGCTTGGGCCATGGAGGTGAGGGCTTTCCCTGGCAGTTCTTCCTTCTGGTTCTCAGAGCTGAGTGAGGGGCTGGGGTGGGCGCTCAGAGGCCTGGGGCCCTGTTTAGGCCAGCAGCACACCTGTGTTCCCGGGACCGTGCAGGGGGCCCCACAGACATGGCAGGGGAGATGAAGCCTGTTTGCTTTCTTTTTTTAGTTTAACTGTGTGCCAGATGCATTTTGTGGTGCTTGCCTTCTTCATTCCTTAAGCAGCTACCAGCAGTAGGATAGTAATGCCCCCATTTTACAGTTAATGGAATAAAGATAAATGTCTTAATGGACTTGCTACACCACCAGTTTTGATGGGCAGGTTAATGAGAAGCACTGGCATTTGTAGTGGCCGAGGGTCAAGTTCTGGCTCTTGCAGGGCACCCCGAGACACTGAGGGGTCATTGGAAAGGAGGAATCAGGGTGGTCTTGTTCCTGGGAGACATAGGCTGGGTGAGCAGGCAGAAGTGACCCATTCGGGCACTGAGCCTGACCTGTCCCTGCTCTGCTTCTGCACTTCTCCCGAGGAGGCCATCCCTTGGGGTATGCTGATCTGAGAAACTTGTTGGATGACCAGGCGACCTCAGACCACTGCTGGGCCCTGTGTGCTGCGTCACTTTGGGTTTATGGATCCTAGTCTACAGAGCAGAGTGGATGTGGCCAGGGGCGTTCAGGGCTGATTCTGAGGCTTTTGGAGCCCACCAATGAGCTGCCTGGTCCAGGGTGGTGGTGGTTGTGTGCCACTGAGTTGGAATTGACTCATAGCTGACTCTCGAGCTGGTTTTCAGAGGCAGTGGTTATTCTCCAGATTTCTTGGCACAACTTGGTGAGCACATCCAGGGCAACATCTGTTATCTGGTATACTTCAATTGGTATACCATCTATTCCTGGGGCCTTATTTTTTGCTATTTCCTTCAAAGCAGCTTGAACTTATGCCTTCATCACCATAGGCTCTGGCTCAAATGCTATTTCATTAAATTCTTCTGTATCTGCCAATTCCTTTC